GCTTTTGGGTAGTAATCTTCATGCAGTGGCGTAGGATTTCTTACCACACCAGTTTGCAAGTACCCTCTTGTTTCCTTACTTTTTTCCCCACTCAATCCTACTATTTTTCCATTTTTAATGTTTTTTATTTACTTGTTTCCATTCTTTTTTCTTAAATTAATAAATTACATTCTGTGGTTAGGTTAATTATATTCATGCTAATCACGTGCGCATAAATTAAAATGGCGTCAAACCACAAACCCACGCGGTGACTGCAGCTGGATTTTGTCTTCCATTTTGGTCTCTGTCCTCGCTTCTTTTTGAAACTACCTTTGTGGTCCTTGACCCAAGCCCAGAAGAATGATGTAAAAGGCAACTTGGGCAGTTCTCTGGATTAAAAGATTATCCGGTGCATAGAAGAAGATGAAAGAAGAAGAAGAAGAAGAAGAAGAAGAAAAAGTCTGAAGAATTTTGCAGAAATTTGAATTTGGGCCTGTTTTCCAGAAATGCTCCCGCTACATTACAGTTCACTTTAAAGGTACCAGGAGAATCGCTCAGTGAAGGAGAGCTCATCTAAGCCATTTATAAGGCTGTACAACGTAAAATAAAAGAGTTATAAGTGTTTGAAAATCATAAAAACGGCCGCCATCTTGAAAAATCAACCTCAATCCTACATATAGGCTACCGCCTATATAATACAGTAACATTATAGCCTAGTATTGGAACTCCTTCAAGTGAGTATGGTGGATCCCATGATAATATTGCTGAACAGGGTTCATGCTCAACCACTGATAAGTTGCTAATACTTGCAAGAGGTCCTGTGAATGAGTTAAGTTTACAAGAATAACTATCTAGGTATAATAAATTCAATACCTTGAATGAGTAAGAGAGCCTCACTAAGTTCTACTTGTACCATTCCATTGAAAATATAGCAGGAAAATGCCGATTCATTATATTCTGCATGTGCAGTAAAGTTTACAATTTTGAAATTTCCACCACCAGGAAATGGGTGACTGTTTGCTGTTACTGGAACATTATAAAACAAGAAAATAGTAAGAGAAGAGTCGTTAGTACCACACGAAAATTCCACATTGGATCCAACTGTAACGTTTTGTGAGATTAGAGGCTTTTTTAAAAATCCTTGACTGCATAATAAATCTTTGATGCAGAGCAACACTACGAACTGACACTCTAGACTCAGTTTCTTGTTCATCTTTAGAAACACAGATAATGACTGAAATATTTATAACATGATGACATGCCATAATTAACATTATTAACAGTTACAATCCACGCACGTGCGCACAATAACTGACCACGTGATTTTTCTAATAGATCTAATCATGTTGACAAAATCTAGGAGCCTGCAGCCTGTAGTCTGGTAACCAG